CCCCCCCCCACTCTGATTATGTCCAGCATCTGTGCACCACTTTTCAAAGTTCTCCCTCGGTAATCTTTGGGAATAGTTGATGAAAGTAAAAATCACTCAAGATAGTAATATTGTGCTCCCAAGATTCATCTCGTTCAATCTTGATAACTACACTATCCTTTGTGGTCCATACAACAAAGTAGCAGAATTTGCGCTTTGTCAGGAACATCTGGCCTTGACACTGATGCCAGTAAACATGTGTGGTAGACAGCGTATAATTCCCTTCCTTCTCCTCCAAGTAAAAGTCTTTGTGCCCACAAGCTTCCTTGATTGTCGCATTTCGATGTGTGTAGGGGCACTTACACTCAATCACCGAGTCGTCTCCCACAAGTCCATCAGGGGAAGCACCCAGAACTCCCGACTCGTGTAGCCAAAGGCCGGTCTGTACAGGTGTAAAGTTTGTGATGTTGGTGAAGGATTTCAGGGCCTCAGTCTCATTGTCCTGTCCCCATGCAATTGCTTTAACTCCACTCAAGTTGTATTCCCCAAGTAGTCGCTTGATAAGAGACGGTGTAACTCTTTTTGCCTGGAGGACGGAGCCAAAATTACTGGCAGTCAGGCGGCCTCTACGAGCTTGGTGCCATGCAGGGCTGTTTCGCTGGCCAGCCGTGAGGGTGCTCACAACATTTATGGTTCTCTCCTCTACTTTGGCATTCTCAATCAAGTACTCTAATTGTTTTTCCTTCGTAGATGCCATAAGGAAACCTTCTGAGTAAATGATATCCTCAATCGTCTTGATCGGGAGAGGGGTAGCAGGTTGTGGTTCGGGACTCAAGATCCAGCAGGTCCCTGTAAATTTGCCATAGCGCTTTAGTTCGCTGTACAGCCACATCCGATCTTCTCGGCTAGGATCGCGCGCCAAAGGGCTGTAATCCTTCTTCTTCGGTGGCGCTGGAAACATCTGGCTTGCAGACTGTACGCTTTCTGCCTTTCGCTTTCGTTTCCATTGGCATTCCAGGTCCGTCCTGCTAAGGTTATGGATGCCATAAATAAATATGGCTGCCGCGTGACTGCACTTGAACTCGCCGCGAGGACACTCGCATTCTGTGTTTTTTATTTCAAGGTTTTCATCGAGATAAATCTGATAAAAAGATAATTCGAAACAGACACGTAAGTTGCAATATATATTCCGCAATATAAACATTAAATTGGAGGTGAAATCGGGGTTGGGAGTTCTTCGAATTGAACATACGTGTTGTGATCCCAAATTGGCAACTTACTGTGACTTTGTAGTCCTTATTTTTCATGCTTGCTTGGACTTCACCTTTGATGACTCCCCTGGAATAAATAAAGCTTTGGACATGGTCGGATTTGAAGTGGTTTTCTCCGCGATCAAGCGATTTCCGCTCTCCAGAAAAGAAAGAAACGAGTGAGCATATCGATAAAGACGCCATGTTTGAAGTATGAGTTTAAACTGTTTAGACCAGAAAAAAATGCTGTCATGGCAACGTGACGTCACACTTTAGGACTCTATTTGCTCTTGTAAAAAAAGGAATTCTTATTAGTGCACGCAAAAAGTTTTTTATGGTAGGTAACTTGTAAAAAAAACCTCTAAGGCTCCTATTTAAACTGGGAAAATACATTCAGTTCACTTGTAAAAAAAAAAACCCCAAGAAAGTTTTCTCTAACAAGTAGGTATGGATGTTTCATTAAAAAAAAAAACTGTATTCAAAAAGTGACTTTTTAGTAATTTATGGTGCAATTCACCTTTGTAGTATCAAATTATAACCCTATACTTCAAATCACGTGACAATTATTCCACATACCTTCACTTGAATGGATGGTGAAAGCGGGGCATTCGTAATGAGGAATTCATTTCCTGTCAGATTGAAAAAATGCCAGTTTCCTGTACTACTGTTACGATAAGATATCAGTTGTTTCACACTACATGACCCATATTTTGAGTTGGGTTTAATAAAATGGTATGTAGCTCCTTTTTCAGGATCAACAACTTCTACCACCACATCTTGCCAGAAAAGACATTTTTCCTCTACTGTGGAAAAAGTAAAACAAAGCCATGAATATATAGTTAATATATTGAATGACAATTAAATATATAAATAATTATTCATATTTATAAATTTACACAGGTGAGTGGAATTTTATTTGTGCAGTTTGGAAGATGTAGTAGCCAAGATGGTGGGTACACAGACATCCAGGTTGAGAGGAGCAGCTTCAAGAATTTGCTGAGTCAATGTGGATGGTTCATGAGACTCTCGCTGTGCCCAGGACTACAGATGGGTACTGGAAAGCTTGGGAAGCTTGACTGCAATCAACTTACATCCCACCAATCAGAGGGAGTTAAATAAGACTCTTAATCACTTCATGCCATAGAAATCTTGGTATAAGCTCTTGGTGAATGAGCCACTTGGCTCAAGTGCAGAAGTAAACTACATATCAGCTTTTTTTAAAGTGAAAGAACATATTTTCCTGCGTAGTCTGTTTAAAAAATGCCCCGTTACGGATTATGTGGCCACAGGGTCGTTACACGAGAATTCATTCCGATCCAGAAAAAAATTTGCCTTTTGGTTACGATGAATATATGAAGTTCATATATTTTGAACTGCAAAAAAAGATACGTATGATGCACGATCCTCGCAGTAGAGAGCGCTATTTATGCAATAAAAAAAATCAGACCTGAAAACAATCAATTGAGCTATTTAAGCAATAGCTCAATTGCTAAAAAAATGCACTAGTATCGCAGAGGTCAGTGACTCGAATCCCGTACAGGTCTGATTAAAAAAAGGTCTGATTTTCGCTATTGCATAAATAGCGCTCTCTACTCGAGGATCGTGAAAAAAATGATTGCCTTTTGTTTTCTTTCTAAAGACAACGTTATGACTCTTAGATATATAAAAGTTGTCTCCTCTAGTTACAAAAATTGCAGCATATTTTGAAATATACCGTTGAAGAAGACCTCTGCAGGTTTTCATAATTTTAGAGCCAGCGTCCAGCTAATTAAGGACAACTTTTGTGTGGGTTGATTTAGGCCTAACTTTTTATGTGAATGGAGCAAAGTTCAAAAAAAAAAAAATATCGCTACCCCTGCAGCTCTTAATTTGATAAAACTATATTGGAACACGTAACAGCAAATGCTGTACAGTAGATTATTAGCAAGCACGCTAAATTCCTCTTTACTTACTATTCACGAAATCATTGTCAGACTTGCATCGTCCTTCATTTCGTAGAAAAATTGAATTTGATGATGTACATTTGCAAATCCCTGGTGACACGTCAGTCGCTCCATACGTTTGACAATTATTTCCGCAAACTTTCTCGAATTGGTCTCCCCCGTTATTTCGAGTCAACGTAGAACTAACGACTTGAGTCCGACCTTTGACGATGAAATAACACACAGTGAAAAGAAAAAAAAGTAAATCAACATTCTGAGGCATGCTTTTTGTGTCTATGAACAAGGAAAAAAAAAAATTTGGTCGTCTTTCAGAGCTATTAGTTCATCCTTCCAGAAATAATTACACAACGTTATTTGATAGCGTCATCATGTGACCTTCAAATGAAAATAATACCGAGTAAATATTTAGCACTTTTCGCGTTTACCTCAACAATGGAAAAAGATAAAAGAAATACGCATTAAAAAAAGGGTTAAGACATGTGTTCTAAATTTTACACTCATATTCTCAGTCTCTGAGAAAAAAAAAAATATTTGCGTCAGGGAACGGGATGGTACAGAAGCCCGCTTGACCTCTAAAAAAATTCTTACTTACCCGAGGCGGGCACATAATATTCAATTTTCATGGTAAAATTTCGGAGAAAAACAGGATGTTTTTGCTTATCCGCGAGTCGATCCTTAGAATCAATCAAAAAAAAGCGTAGATGACCTTTGCATTTCATCTCCATTAAATGAATTTTTCAGCTTTAAAAAAAGGAATCTCAGTTTCATAGTCAAATTGCGAAGAAAAACAGCCGGATGTTTTTGCTTATCCGCGAGCTGACCATTAGAATCCAGTGGCGGATCCAGGCGGAGGGTCCAGGGAGTTCAGACCCCCCTAACAGACCTGACGCTTACAACTTTGAAATTGAAATTCTTAAAAAAAAAGGATCGTATATCACTTTTTAACTGGCTGATCTTTTTAATGAATCCAAGTAAAAAAAACGCGACCAAGGAATTAAAACGTGCAACCACAACTGGTGGTGTGGGGGAGAAAAAAATTGCCTCAAAAGAGTCCAACAGTCCTTTCTGAACCAAAGTTTGGACCCACAAAAAAAAAAATTATTGGATCCGCCCCTGGAATCAATCAGGGATTTGCCTAGTTGACCTTTACATTCCATTTCCATTTAAGAGAATTTTTCAGCTTTGAGCACTGGAATCTCAAAGGTAGTTCGTGTTGCTCTGATCACGTTCGTACTAAAGAATGGATGATGCTCGGGAATAATACCTTCTTGAGGCCCATTCAGCGGTAGTAAAAAGTTATTTTGGAAATGTATAGCTACAATCTCCCTCTTTTACAAGTAACTTAAGAAAATGTCTACAAAAGGGGCAAATGTAACCACGAGGAAGTACCAGGAAGGGAAGGCTAACCCTCACCTACTTCCTTCTCAGTGGAAAGTTCAAATGGAGACAAATCGAGGAAGCATAACTTCCATGCGATTCTTTAAAAAGGGACGTCTCCATTGCAGAACATCACAGCTACGTCTAGCCAATTCCGACGACAAGGCTAATTCTGACGTTTCAATTTCTATCTTCCGCAGGAATCAACTGCCGAAATCCCTAACGGATTTCTAACTGTGACATACGTCAAAATTCGAAGGAAAAGAAAACACAACGGCTTAAATGGCATGGCCAAGACTGTCTGAGTCCAAGAGGGTCTGAAATGTTCCCCAAGATTTCGTCACTTGGATGGCCGCACATTAACCCAGATTAAACTATAAAACGAAACTAGTCTTTATTCATCCACCATGACAAACGGAAAGCATGGCCCATACAAATATCCATGATCCTTTGCAATGTCTTAGAACTTCCGCTAGGACAACTTCCGGTAGAATAATATCAAAACATTACACCCTCACTTCTCTGGTCAAGCCCTATGCTATTCCGAAGTCTCTTTAAAGCGGCAATAAAAACTAAATAGGAACGTAGATGAATAATAAAAATGAAAATTCACAAGGATTGAAAAAAAAAATCTTAGGGAATTCAAAGTTAACTTTTCAAAATGCACAAAGTGGGAAAAAAAAAAATGAAAGTTGATATTCCAATTTGGATAAGGGCGCTCAAACATGAAGAAATTAAAAAAATTAAATGATAGAACTAGTTATTTAATAAAATAATCTTCAATCCAATATGAAAAAAAAACTTGAATTTACATCTTATTTTCAAACATGTTTACAATGCAAGACACGTAATCTTAAAATAAACCTTTTTCTTCAAATATGTGTTCTCTCACTGATTGATAAGAAATGTTCATGCG